CCCTGTATAAACCCTCATGTACTATTAGTATAATGGGCCCCAAAACCCTATTCTAATTTTTCAGGGCCCTATATTACTGGGGGGGATCCCATGTACTATTTGGGACTTTCCGAAAATTTGGGTACCTTATTTTGGGGTCCTTATAATAAGGATCCTACTATTTAGGGTACCATATTAGGGTCCCCTCTTTTCTGAAACTCCCTAAACCCTAAACCCTAAACCCTAAATCCCTACACCCCAAAATAAGGTACCCCCTATTTTCTGAAACCCCCATTTGGGCACATGGACCCAAAAGGGGTAAGCCAGAGGGGCTCGAGCTGCTGATCTCCGCCAGCTGCGCCTTCCAAGAGGACTTCTCAGGCGGAGCCAGAAGCACTAGAACACCTAAAGGGATCCTTTTGCTATATATATATATATATATGTGTGTGTATGTGTCTATATATATATATATATATGTGTGTGTGTGTATGTGTATATATATATATAATATGTATACAAATATATATATATATATAATATGCTTGCAAAGCGGTAATAAAGCTTTTCCGGCGTCGAGATTGGGTTTCGGCTCCTGTTCATCGGCTTTCGGGTGTGGGGTTTACAAATCCCCCCCCGGCTGGAGGCGCGTAGGGTTTTCGGACCCGAAACCCGATGGCAGACCCGAAACCCAAACCCCTGAACTATAAAGGACGCTGATGTCCTCCACGCCCTGAAGCCCACGTGAATCACTGGAAAACTCTAGGACAGCTCCATAAATGCAGTTCTAAGTAGACCCTAAGCCCCAAATCCTAAACCGGAATATAAAGAACCCCTTCTAAGGCGCCATCAAGCACTTATAAGCAAACCCTGAACCCAAAATCTTATATAAAACGACTTACAATTACAGCAAAAACCTTCCAAGGCCCAATAAAAGCAATTTATGAGGATCCCCGAAGCCCTAAACCCTAAACCCCTAAACCCTAAACCCCTAAACCCTAAACCGACAAAACCAGCTTGGCAGAAGCCATCGGCCCGGCTCCGAGCCTCGAGACGGTCCAAGGTGCAGGCAGACTCCAACTTCCCATGTCCTCTCGGGGCTTAGGGGTTTTAAGGGGTTTCGGGGTTTAAGGGGTTTTAAAGGGTTTTAGAGGCTTTAGGGGTTCTAGGGGTTTTAGGGGTTTTAGGGGTTCTAGGGTTTTTTGGTGGTTTTAGGGGTTTAGGGTTCGTAAGGTTTATAAGGGTTTAGAATGTTTATAGGGTTTAGGGGTTTGGGGTTTATGGGTTTAGGAGCTTAGGGTTCAGGGTGCAAGGCTTTTGTGCGAGCATTCTGCGGTGTTATAGGGGGTTGATCGGGCTTGTACAGGGACTACGAGGCTTCTATAAGGTGTCATATGGGAGTTTCTGACAATAAGGGGGTACCTTATTTTGGTGTCATTTAAAATGAATCCTACTATTTAGGGTATTATATTGGGGGTCCCCTATTTTGGGAAATCCCCATAGAAGGGTTCTATTATTGGGATTCAGGGTTTAGGGTTCGGGGCTTTGGGGCTTTCGGGTTTGGGCGGGGTCAGTCTTTGCAGCCTAGCGGCTTTAGGGCTTTAGATTGGTTGGTTGGTTGGTTGGCTGGTTGCTCGGTTGGTCGGTCGATGGGTTGTTTGGTTGGTTGGATTGTTTACGCTTCCGCGTTTGTGGTAGGAGCCAAACGAAGTCAACGAGCCGATGGACAAAAAACAGGAGGTTTTGGTGGGGTATGTTCTCCGACTGTATTTTAGAAGTGCGAACAAAGAACCCTGAGGAATACTATTATTCTTTGGTCACACCCTCTCTCAAAAACCCTTGCAGACTCCGTATAAGACGCATGCGAACAATCTTTGGTGTACAGGCACCGGGCCTTTGTTGGCTCTGTGCTTCTCCTTTCGTGAGCCTTGAGAGGGAAGCTTCCGAGACAAAACATTTAGGGCTTAGGGCTTCGGGTTTAGGGTCTTTTCATGGTTCCCACAAAGGTACTGCACGGGTAAGTTACAAGGGTTTAGGGTCTAGATCTCGGGGGTTTGACTTTATGATTGAAGGCTTGTCTTTTCGAGGTTACGGCTTTATGGCGTAGGATAAGGAGTGTAGCATGCAGACTCTAGAGTCTTGGGTGTCGGGTATCGGTATCACTAGCATTGCAGCGCTAAGCATCGGGTATTTCTGCTCAGGGCATTGCACAGGCTGAGGTAGAGCAGGTATATATATATATATAACTATATAACATATCCATTGACATCCTGAGGGAGGCGAGAGGAGGGAAGTGAAACAGAAAGAACGAGCACGCGGGGGCGGGGAGAGAGAGAGAGAGGGACAGAGAGAGAGAGAGAGAGACAAAGAGAAAGAGAGACAGAAAGCGAGAGACACAAAGACGATGGCCTGGAGCGGAACACTGATCTGTCAAAGCTCCTGAGCCCTCAGTGAAGTGGGTAGCGTCTGACCAATGCGTACACTATATCAAGCGCATCCTACTCTGGTAGACGAGCCGCTAGAAACCTCAACCACAAACCAAACAATGAATGCTCTCTTGAAGACTTGCCTGCAGCCCAAGTTTCGCCCAACCCTTGCCAGGCCCCTACAGCTGTCAAGCTAAGCCCTCACCCTGAACCGTAAACCCTTGTGAACTCGAGCAGCTTCTGGACTTCTTTGTCTTGTCCTGTCAAGGAAGCGAAAGCGATGTCGGGTTCCCGGTGTTGCCGAGAATACTATGGGGCCTTGATAGCTAAATTGGGCTTCTGGTGTATATCGTAGTATGACTATGACTGTAACCTAAGGAACCCTAAAGAACACAGCGTAGCAGCTCTTCAAGCTTGTGCGTTACGAATATTGCTTTCTTCTACGAATCACAGCCACCTGGGATGAGCATAGCTGTACCCAGAGAGCCCAATACCCCTTTAATAAGGAATATGCCTTAAACTATAGGGACCTTAATATTATGAGTTAAGGTATATTCCTTAATTAAGGGGTCTTGGGCTCTCTGGGTATGGGTATCACAGGAAGTAGAACCGAAGGAAAAGAGCAAAGCGAGGACCACAGCAAAGCCGATAACAGTCATGATGTTGCTCATGGTCATTCGTATAACTCACGGCAGTACATCCGAACCCAAAAACCATAATATGATAATGCTCTGAGAATGATAACCATGAGGCTAGAACCCTAAACCTTAAACCCCTAAACCCTTAACCCTAAACAGATGCCCGTCCCTTCTGAGGTTGCAAAGCCTGGAGTGCTGAGACGTAAATAGTAAAGATCGGCCTCGAGGCTACCTTTAACCACCAAGGCGTACCTTTTTTTGTAGGGCCCCTCTAAGTTCTGCATCTGAACCTGACAAGGACCACAGTGGAGACTATGGGTAGTGTCTACAACGAAGCCTGGGTTCATGGGTTTTGCTGAAGGAAGATAGGGGCGGTGAATGTTGGAAAAAGACGGTTCCGTGGGTCCAGCGAAGGCGAAGCCCGAAACCGTAAAGCGTCAGATCTAGCCTAGCCGGGCCTCCTTCTCCATCTTCTCCCGCTTCTTGGCTTTAACTGCCAAGTTTTTGATCTCTTCCTGCCGCGAGATGTCTAGGGTGTAGGGTTTAAGGGGCCTTAATCCTGAGGCTGCTTGGGGTACACCCTAAACCCTAAACCCTCTACCCTAAATCGGTTTAGGAGCTTAGGGGTTTGGGGGTCTAGGATTCCTTAAGGTGTTCCGTAAAAGGTTCTGAGGGATCTTAGGGCTTAGAGTCTACTTGGAGGACCATGGGAATTAGTAAGCAAGGTTACAAGTACCCAAATTGGGGTCATAAGTATAAGTACCTTATCTATTTTTAAGCATACTTACTAAGCATACTTACTAAGTCCCATGATCCTCCAAAATGGCCCCCCTGAGTGGATCCAAAACCATAGGACCTGCCCCTCTGGATCTGCATGGGTCTGCTCGCCACACCATCCCATGTTTAGGGTTTAGGGGTTTAGGGTTTAGGGGTTTAGGGTTTAGGGTTTAGGGTTTAGGGATGTTTAGGGTGTAGGGGTTTACGGTTTAGGGGTTTAGGTTTTAGGATTGATCCCCAAATGCCCGAAACTTTTCAAGACTAATGTAGGGGCCTTAATAATTAGACTAGGGTGGTGGGGGTTCCTTACTATTCTCATTATTAAGGCCCCTAATATTATGCACACCCGAATTTCGAACAACTCAGGACTTGCCGATGACAACGTGGAGACTCCTCCTGCAGAAATCCCTACATGATGGACTAAAGCCTCAACATCCTTAAACGCTTACAAGAGAGATCCTATTTCACAAAGTGCAGAAGCAAGGCGTCACACCCAGGCCTTCATGGTTTTTAGAAGCTTGGAGTTTAGAGTATGGGCTGCGGGAGGCATAAACCTGATCTGCGATTACTCCTCGCGACAACCCAGCAGGTTTGTCCTGAAGGTGATGCTCATTGCCTTGGATGTAGGCTCGGATTCGCTGCTCATCGTTCTCCTCGGATGCGTCAGGCAACTTTAGCATGAACCCAAAACTCTTAACCCAAACCCCTAAGCCGAGGTTCAGAGCTGTGACCTGCAACTATTCCGCACCCTAAAGCCCTAAAGTTCTCAAGAATAAGAGGCAATGCCACTGCCACCATCACCACGACTACGACTACAACTGCTAGTGCTGCTGATTTTTCTACTACAACTACTGCTACTTCTACTACCACTGCCTTACAAACTTCCTAAACCCTACAACCCTAAATTTAAACCCTAAACCCCTAAACACCTTAAAGCCTAAACCCTAAACAAGTGCCAGCACTGGTTTCACGACTCATCCCCTGAAACCTCCGCTCGGCGAGATTATGTACGGAATCGAGCCCCTCAGGTTCCTATAAGGTTTGGGTTTAGGGTTTAGGGTTTAGGGTTTAGGGTTTAGGGTTTAGGGTTTAGGGTTTCTTTACGGGTTCCTGTAAGGGTTCCTGTACGGGTTTGTTTAAGGGTTCCTTTAAGGGTCCATGTACCCAAGTAGTATACACTTTGGCCTTTAGGTACTCCCTGTACAGGTACCTTGGGGGCCAAAGTACATACTTTTTACGTACGTGGACGCTTAGGATAGGGACTCCGGCTTGATTTCGGTTTGGAATGTCTCTCTTCTTCAACAACCAGGCCCAAAAAAGTTCAAACTTTTTAGGATAGACCTAATATATAAAACCAAAAAGTTTAAAGTTCTCCCATTGGCTATCTCATATGTACTGCACAAGGACTTCGATAAGAATGTCATGAGAAGTAAGTTATGCCCTTGTTGACTGTATTAGGGAACACTTAGGAAGAGTATTGCTGAGCTTTTCGAACAGGCTTTGGCAAGTGACTGGTCCACCCACCTATCTCACGCAGCCCGGCCAAGTCACATCCGAGCAGGTGGCGTGTTGAATCATGGTAGAGATGGAGTCCTTCGTGCCACCCTGCAAATGTATCAGATCAAAGAACATGAGGCTCATAAGCTCGTCAAGTACTCTTTGCGAAACCATAAGTGTATCAAACCGAGAGATCGGTTGCTGCTAGTGCTTTTATTCTTACAACGCCACCAGGTGGTCGTAGTTGTGCCGTCACCACCAAGCCAGGGTTGGGCCGTCACATGGGCGCCTTTTCGAGAAGGTCTGCTGGAAACTAGGAATTAAGCTTGGACTCCCTGCAACTTTCAAGTTAAAGGTACCCACAGAGCCCAATACCCCTTAAATAAGGAATATACCTTAAACTATAGGGTTGATATTAGGATTTAAGGTCTATTCCATAAATAAGGGGTATTGGGCTCTCTGCGCCTCTGGGTAGGGGAGTTAGGCTTGAGGGGAGTTAGGCTTGCGGATTGAAAAGGGTCTACGGAATATCGTCGCAACACGTCGTGGAGACACGAGTATCGCATTGACAAGCTTGTGGCTCTGAGTTTGCTATGACATCTTGTAGCTCTCATCACCATCGTCACCAGCAGCATCACCACACCAACTGAATCCGAACGCACCGCCGAAACTTGGCTCAACTTCACGTTTAGGCTCTTGGAGCACCGAGCACCCGAACTGATTGCCTGCCTTGGCGTCGGGGGCCTTCTTGACTGTATCCTGCAGGGAATACGTTTTGGGAACTGCTGACGCCTCATGACATGTGGGTAGATCTCCAAATTAGGGCCCCTTTTTTAGGTCCCCCAAATTGTACGGCACCCTTATAAAAAGGACCCAGAAAGGGACCTTGATTTAGAGAACCGCCCATGCGTCTAAAACTCGGGCTACCAACTTGAGGAATACGGCCCCGGGGATTCGTTGTTGCAACGGTAGGTGCTTGGCATCCGAGCTTAGAGCTTAGCAGTCTCGGGCGACCAAGTTTAGGAGTCGGATGGTCTACTCATATACTCAGCGTGAAAAGAAGAGAGTATAGAGTGATGATAGTGCGGTGTCCCTTTAGGAGCCGCAAAGCTAGGATACTCCACGAAGAACTAAAAACCATAACAACCTAACTAAACAAACAGGGTAAACATGTTCATGCTGCTGATCAACAGTACCGCCGCGGCCAACATCGTCAACAGCACCATCATGCGTAATCCTTAAATCACGAATGCCAATTATAACAAGAATCCGTGCCGGTGCTCTATTCTATGGCATAATATTCGTCAATGCTGTCGTCATCATCCTCGTCGCCGTCATCCGGAACGTTAGCATCAGCACCATTGTCATCATCACCAGCGCTACCGTCCTCAGCATCACCGCATTTCATATTCTTCGACATCACCACCGTCGCGATGTGCCCAGCCAAACATCATCGAAATACGCCATCCTTCCTCATAATCCTGGAAGGAAAATATCGCCGCGTAAACACCTGCAGCTGAAAAGAACCAACCAAATCGGTCACGCCCCACTAAATTTATGTCAAACCCTCAAAAGCGTCCTTCGCGACGAAGATGAGTGGCGACCCCCGCTGTTTTTCGACCTCCATGGCCTCTCTCTGCTTGGGAGGCGCAGCAGCATCAGAATGCAACAGGAGGAGAGTAAAGATGCCACAGTGAGCGTCTGCAGAAGCAGCAGCAGCAGCAGGTAGCCGCAGTGAAATCTGATGGTGCAACTACTTTACTTCTTCTACTTTTACTCATGTGTACATGCTCATGTGGCAGGCTCTGGGAGACTGAAAATTGCCCGGCAACCTTCACGGTGGCGTGAACTCTCACGCTGCTGCCAAGCCTTCCACAACTCCGCCACACACCAAAGCCTGCAGTAGAGGCTTTCCGTCACCTGAGAACAGAAGGTTTGCTGCAGCTACTTCTTGCTTGCTTCGTCGCTTCTCTTTGTAGTTCGGGCAAAGTCCCCGCAGGGGACTCCAACAGCCAACAGCCGAGAACCCAGGAGAAATCTATCCAAGACACCGCCCTTCCGAAACCTAACCTGCTGCCTCTGTAGCCCGAAAGACCTGATTTTTTGAGGGTTTAAAGTTAAGGTTTAGGGTTCAGGGTTCAGGGTTAAGGGTTTAGGGTTTCGGTTCCCCTGCGAGCATGTCCCTACAGCCTAAACTCAACAGGTGTCGGGGTTGAGAACTTGCCCTGCAAGCTTCACACCAAGTCCTGTCCCCTAAACCCTAAGCCCTATACCCTAAACATTAGAGTTTGGGATTTCAGGAGTTACCGACGGTTACCTTGCTTTTTGCAGTCCGGGCCGCATTGGGAACCACCACGAAGGAGTGCAACTGTGAGGCGGAAAGGGCCTTGGTAGAAAAGCTCTTTCAAAACAACCTGTAAACTGTAAACCTCAACCGACTCCGCCACAAAGCTCGAACCTGAGACCGAAAACTTTAAACCCGAGGCCACAAAGCATAAACCATACAGCCTACACCCGGGAGCGTGCCGCTGCGGCCCGGTCACCAGCATGAAAGGTGAGTCCGAGAGGTCGAACCTCTCACCCAAGAGCTTGTTGAGCTCCTGCAGGGGTCCAGGGTTTGTGGGGTTGAACCGAGTCACTAGGTTTAAGGGTGTGGGGAACCCTACCAATAGGAACCGAAACAAAATGGGTCCTGAGTAGGTTCAGGCGTTTCAAGGTCGGGGGCAGCATTAAGCGCTTCAGATTGGAACCGGGGACACGCATGAACCCGTCCTTCACAGTTGGTTGGCAACAGCAAAGAGAGCATTTTAGCAAAACTACTGTTGCTAGAGTTGAGCATCGCAGTCCTCGCGATCCCACGTTTGTGGGTTGGCCAAGAAGCAGCACCACATGCTGAGATCCTGGCGCTGCCAGTGGTTGACGACCTGCGGTCGTGAAGTGAAGTAGAGGATTGTCTCTGCTGCTGAAACGTGCTGGCGTGTATTCAATTAAATGTTATCCTGCTGTATGGCACTGTATTTTGCTATAGGATGCTATATTATGTCGCACAATACTATACCAGACTATACTATACTGCACTAGACTAGACTTTGCCATGCTGTATGAAATGGTGTTCACTGGCTACCTGGAGGCTACGAGGAGTCGCCATTTTCGAAGGCCCAGGCTGCTACATGGCAAGAGCTCCCTCGGTTTATGTGGAGCCACTCCTGACATGAGATAGTCCGAGGTCCATCCTCATCAGTCTAAAGGTTAGACTTTAGGGTATAGACTTGGGGGTTTAGGATGTGGGGCTTAGGGTATAGAATTTGGGGTTTATAGGGTTTAGGGCCTGGATCGAGAACTTGGGGTTTAGGGTTTAGGATACTTCCAAACGCTCTGAGAGATCTACAGCGTGTCGGAGCTCCTGGGGTTGAACTAGTTCGGCCTACGCGAAGACACCTCATGAACGACACTCTTGGACTTAAGAAGATTTGCATCCCGCGCCTTGCGGCTGAATTCATAGACGCCCTCCTTCCACGAGTGCGTGACAAAGAAGAAGTCTCCATCCAAGCCCTGCAGGCAGCACGTGCTTTGCGGGCAAGGTCACCGCAGCACCACTACTAAAACTTCTACCCCCCAAAACGATGAGGAAAACCACCACCAGAAAGTGCTGCCGCTGCTGTCGACGCATCTGTCGTCGTGTTTTCTACTTGATGCTGCGAACGCTACAACGCAGGAGTTACCCAAGTTCGGTGCTCACAGGTATCGGCTTCGAGAAGTTACTTCAGCAGTTGCCAGAAGTCGTTCTGGTATGCGGTCATGCTGAGAGCAGCACATCCCGGCTGCAAGACCTGCAACCACCTTTGGAACCGCTTCAACAAGCTGCGATAATCCTGAACCTTGAACCCCCGATCCCAGTGCAATCTAACTCCCATCACAGTACAAAGTCCAAATTCGGAACTGAAGGCCCTAAGCTAGAGCGCAAGTCTACCATGATCGGTGTCACAAAAAACGACAATCCACCCAACAAGCCCTACCCGCAGAAGCCCACCCAAAAGCCAACAAAACAACCTAAACTACTTGCACCTCAAATTCCTATAGGGTTTAGGGGTTTAGGGTTTAGGGTTTAGGGGTTTAGACTCTAAACCCATTACGTCCCGAAGCCATGACCGTTTCCATGGCCTCGGGACTGAGCATCAGCGCCCAAGACATGCCGCCAGCCTCTTGCGTCCTTCAGGTGCTCTTACCCTAAGCTTCCAGGGACCTCATTATTGGGTCCTTAAGGGGTCTAGGGCCCTAGCTATAAGGTGCCCGGAAGCATAGGGTTACAAAGAGGGAGGTGCAGTGTTTGGGGTTATAAGGGGCAGGTTTCTGAATCTTAGGTGATTCTGAACGCCAGTTGGGGGGGAATCTTCAGGAGCCTAGTGGTAAGGGTCTATATTTATATTGTGTCCCGCAATTTCGGAAGCTCCCACATGACCTCCGCCAAAACACGGGGCAGACAAAGCCAAAGTCCAAAACTAGCAAAGCCCCTTCTCTCCGAAGCAACACATGGGTGGTTGTCAACATTATGGTCCCTTTTTGGGTCCTTATTATAATACGGCACCTAGAATTTAGGGTACCCCAAAAGGGACCATAATTTTGACAACTACCCACATCCACCAACGGAATGATCGAGTCACGGGATGTGGGATGGCATTGCCGGATCTGGGGCTCTGAGGGCTGAACTTTTCAGAGCGGAAAGTTCCATTCTGTAAGGTTTGGGGGCTCAGTGGTGCGGTTACGGCTGCCTTTGCAGTCGGGGTCAGAACTTCCTCTTGCACTGGACATCAAGAACAGTGTCCGCCTCCTGGCCCTAAACCCTCAGCGCCAAAGGCTCTAATCGCCGTTCTCCGTCTTTCGTCAAGACTTGCAGCTTCTCCGATCCCCAACACCCCCGACCCTGCTCTTGACAGATCCCGGGCCCTACCCTGTCCTGGGCTTAATCACTGCCCCATTGACCTGGAACGAGGAGGGCTTCAGCCACTTGAAAGTGCAAACTGGGTTTCGGTTTCGATTTTCGGGTTCATGGGGCCATGGACTTCTGGGTCAAAAGGTTGAGGAGTCAGGGTATTTTGTGTGGTGTTGCGCGGTATGATCCGTGTTGGAAGCTTGGAAGTTCTTCCTCGGCGCTCCTGCTCGTTTCAGAAAAAGTTCGAGGCAGCTTTAGTGTAGTATTTCCGGGGATGCTCTGACTCAAAATGCGAAGCATGCCAGCGTCGGATCGATGGTGGGAACATGCTCGTCCAATGTCCCCTCCCCTCACTCGCCAAATCAAACGACCACTAAGAACACTACATGCAGGGCTAGATGCAGTACGATGATCAGATCTAAATCTAGATGCAGAAGCAGTCGATACGAGGCTTGAAAGCCCTTCCTACGTCCAAAAACACCTCTATCCCTATAGATGCAAGCCCTGAGCCCTTAAAGCTCTACAGGCTGAGCTACAGTACAGCCCTATAAACTCCCAGCATATACACTAATTGCCCCTAAACCCTATAAACCCTAAACCCCAAAACCACTGGCTTGACTTACCAGACCGAGTCGCTGAGTGCATGTTGGGTCCGATCATCGGGTCGTCGTGGTGTGGGTTGGCCCTGTCGATGGCTGTAGGGTGCAGGGCTTTACGGCTTTAGGGCTGTGAAGGCTTTCGGGTTCATGGCTCTGGGGATTCAGGGTCTTAGGATTTAGGATTTACGGCTTCGAGTTTTATCTGTCTGGCCGGGGGAGGAGCGAAGGAGGAGTGAGGCTTGCGAAAGTCAAGGCTACGTTTCGGGGTTGCAGTAGCGGTTCAGGAAGGGAGCTGACACCGGGCATGGATTTCCAAGTTATGGGACATCCGGGTCAGAAGACTTCCTAACCTTGAACCTCCCAGGGTGCGAACGGTTTGCAGGCGAAACGTACCAGAAGCCTCATCATGCAGGGCTCTCTTCCACGCAGGCTTCTGTTCCCTCGGAGGTCTGAGAGCGGCAGCGGTCGTCGCAATGACAGCCGTAGCAGTAGCAGGAGTGTCTTACAACACACATGCCGTCTGAATTCTAGAATCTGTCACACCGCTACCTTCAGAGTTTCTGCCTGACTCGGATCGGCTAGTTGTTGCAGCCTGCTGTTGCGAGCCATCTGACTTACCCCCAATAGACTGAACCCCCCGAAGCACGACCGGCCCCTCGAAAAAAAGCCCTTTCAAAGTGATACGGTTGATGATATAAACCCTGCATTACCCATAGTGAGGAATATACTGTATACTATAGTTTTCATAGCTTAGGGTCCTTAAGGTCATGCGGGATTTATATCATCAACAGTATGGCTTGCATGCCAGGGAGGCTCCTTTGAATCTGAAGGCAGCACTTTTCATCCCAGCCCGGGCTTTTCGGAAGACGCTTGGCTGAATCGAGCAACTGGCCTCGCCCCAGAAGAGCTATGAAACCGAGCTAAGTGGACCTGCACTGCCCCCAAATCCCAAATCCCAAAGTTAAAACTTCCGGATAGTAACAGCACTGCCTACCAGAGCCCAGAGATCTCAAACGTTGAAGGTTGGAAAACTGGGCTAACTACAATCAACCACAAAACAAGAGCCAAGCCCAAACACTGAAGATGGGTGCTTAGGCCTTCGACCTTGGGGAAGTGGAACGGTTGGGATTCATGGCTTCAATGTCCCTAAGGCCCCAAAGTACCTATATAGGGACTACTTACTTTAAGGCCAATGTATCTATTATTTGGGTACATGGACCCTTAGGGTGTTGGAAGGTTCAGGGCTCAATATAGACAAGTTGCAGCTGCGTCCGCGGGTTGATCTTGTTCTCGATCCTGCTGAGGTCTCGAGATAGACTAGCAGAAGTCTCGCCGGTGAAATGTGGCCCTGCATTATCAAAGCGTTAACGCTATCCGACCCAAACTTCAAAAACAAAAACGACACCCGAAACTACACTAAGCCTGAAGGCCTAAAGCTAGCTGCCAAGACTTGTTGCCTGAACCAAGCCGCAACAACAAGACACCCAGCCTCCGAAAAGCACGCAAACCAGAACCACAAACTTCCGGAATTGATCGCTGTATTTTGCAAAGGTACTCTCTATAGTCTGGTAACCGCAAGAACAAGATGCCTTTCAACTGGATGGTGCGTTCGATGGTCCAGGGGTTTGTGGGATGTAATCGTTGCAGCATCTGGAGCTTTTGGGTTATTGCCTTGGGCTTGGATTCCCTGAACCCTAAGCCCTAAACCCTAAACTCTAAACCCAAATTTTGGGATGCAAGATTTCGTTGCTGGTGGCATGGCATAATCATGCCTTTTGTTCTGCAGTCTTGCAGGTCGCAGACCAAATACAACTGTATTCTGGAGGTAGGTCCGACAAGTCAAAATGGCTGAACAATTTCCGAAACTGGCCTACACCCTAACCCTGAACCCTCAGCATCTAAGCCCTAAAACCCTCAACCCTAAACCTCAGGACATGGAAAACGGGCTTGCACTCTTCTTTCGACCCTGAGCTCCTGGAGAATTCACAGGAAAGCGTCGATTACACCTCCTGAAAGGACCCAACTCACAACATACAACACCCTTACAAAACAAACACAAAAAAACAACCTCAAAGCCTAAAATACAAAAACAGACGGGATGCCCCACGGCCTCCCGGCTTGATGGGCGTCTTTCACCGCTGTCAAGAACTCGAGGAAACCTGGATGTGATGGAAGACTTGAACACTTGGGTTATAAGTTTGCGGGTCTGGGAGTTTGGGGTTCAGGATCTTGACCGTCTGACGCTTGGGGTTCGGGGCCTCGGGCATTCAGGGTGTTGGGGATTTCAATGCTTCAGAGTCTTAGGCTGAAGCTGGAAGCATTTGCCGTCCAGGGCGATAAACGCAAATAGAGCCGCAGAAAACTCGAGCCGTGAACTCAAGAACCCTGAACTCCAAACTGCGAGTGGTCTTCATTGAACAAATAGGGCACGGTGCTCTGCTGACACAGAAGCATGTAATATATGGTACGACAACACCCACTCACCTTTGGGATCCGTCCAACCCAAAGCACCTTCTTAACAAGTTAAAACACAATAACAAGTCAGTCAGGTTCGGAGAGTCAAGACGGCAGAACAGAGGCTCATAGTTCTACAGCTTAAGATCCTAACTGGGAGACTAAAGTCTGAATCTGGCACATGGGCGGGTGGGGAGGGGTGAGCCGGCCGTGACTGTGCGGAATGATTTGCAGCACGACTACAGCCATGTTACATATCATCGAAGCTTAATTCAAGGTCGTGTGTTCAGGCAAGAGCTGCCAATAGCCTGGATACGGGGCCTTGACTCGGAAACTGAGGTCTGAATTCAAAAATCACCACGACATACTCACATGCTGCGCCTTAGTAACACCCAAGACTCCCGGAGAACAACCGACACCCTAAACCCTAAACCCTAAACCCTAAACCCTCGCCCTTTAACCTTGAACCGACCCTGAAGCTGCCAGAAGCGGCATCTCCCATATGGGGGTTTCCGAAAATCGGGGACCCTAACATAGCACCCTAAATAATAGGATCCCTATTATAAGGACCCCAAAATAAGGTACCCTAATTTTCTGAAACTCCCATATCATAGCACAGCAGCCCCGTCTCGTAACGCACCACTTCCGGGCCGGGACGGCGTAGTGCATGCCTGGATCCGGAATTTACGGTTTAGGGTTTAGGGTTTAGGGTTTAGGGCCTGGGTCCGGAATCCTAGGGCTCCAGTTACCTAAATAGTAGGTTACTGGGGTACATAATATAGGGTTAGTAACCTACTATTTAGGTAACTGGAGCCCTTGGGGAAATGAAGGCTTTCGGGTCTATAGGGTGTATTTGGTCTTCGCGACAAGTCAGTCAACTCCAACATGTGTCACCCGAGTAGCTGCTAAGCCCTGAAGCCTATAAACCCTACACATCCGCCCTTTGTTCAGCCTCATTGAGCTCCAAAGCGCAAACCCGAGAAGCGCGAGAATTCAAGAGCGAAGCAGTTTTTGCGTAGCCTGGGAGATAGGACCCAGGGCTGTTCGGTGCCCCTCTATCTGCAATGAGACATCTTAAGCCCTAAACCCTAAACCCGCAAAGCAGAACGGAGACCTACACATTTAAAGCTTATAGGCCCTATATAAGACAAGCGGTAGACTTCTTCGTGTTGGCTCAGGTGCGAAGACCTTTCTCGTAGGGCAGCTCATCGAAAAATGCCGGCTTCGCCGAGCATTTCAGGGCTTGGTAGTCGTCCACCTGCGCAGAAAAAACAATGCTGAAGCATAGCAGAGATTTGTAAAAGTTAACAGTCAGAAGATGTTAAACCTAAGGTAGGACAGCATTGCGCCTCTGCGACCGGAATTTCTGAAGCCCTCACGACCAAGAATTTCTGGGGGTCTCCGGCCTTGACAATTCAACTTAACCTATGTCAGTGGGCCCGGGGTCCTACGAGATGTGTCTGCTTCCCACCATTCGTCTTCTAACATCACTGCTGGTGAGGCGGTATAGTGCCTTACACCTCGCAGGGAACTTTCGTCAGCCGCAACCGTAACCCGCTGCAGACCTCATGTTGTTCAGCAAGGATCAGAAATCGCCCTTAAGAGGAGCTTACAACAGAATCACAAGCAGCCGCTAAGCACCCAGCAAGCCCACGGATCTCGCGTCATAAGCGATTCCAAGGCCCTTGTGCCAAATCGCACAAGTCACAAACAAACGGTCATCTCAGGTCTTTCACTAGCACGCACAGCTACAGCTGGCGATCAACGCAGAACCCGAGCCTACTAGCTGTCGAGCTACGCCTCGGAGCCCAAAACACTGTTCATGGATGCCTGTATAGCAAGCCTGTATCGTATCCCCTTATGGGATTGATGGTCTCTCCCGTAAGTATATAGAAGTACAGTACCTATACGGTACCTCACAACCGTAGCCGAGGCAACTCCAGAGAAACCTCTTTCGCGACGCCTCCACGACTTCGCTCATCCGGACCGGTGGCGGCGCTGCCAGCGCTTCGATCTTCTGGGGCTCCGGTGCGTCGTACAGCCAACTGTACCTGGGTCTTAGCTGCAAGTTTTATATGTAGTATATAGTGTGTGTATGTGTATATATAGATGGAAGATAGATATAGACGGGTAGATAGGTAGATAGATAGGTAGATAGATAGATACATAGATAGATAGATAGATAGATAGATAAGTACATACATATATATATATACACATGCTTTATGTATGTATGTACATGTATATGTGTGTCTGCCCG